TGTGTGATATTTTGCGTGTGAGTGAGAGATACCCGTGGTCTGTTGTATTAGGGATATTGTTGATAAGAATGGTGCTGGTACCGGGAGACTGGATCTGGGCATGATGAGTATGATTTGTGGGTTATGGGTGAGTTGTAGTAGTACAGCGGGTTGAAGAACTGATCCATGCTTTGGGGAAAGGAGAGGAAAGGAAAGGATTCTCCAAAGTCCTAGATATCATTCTGACGAGGTGAGATAAACCACTTTCTTTTGGGAAGATGGATATGAGGTTCTGGAAATGCGTGGTACTTACGATCGAGATGAGATCATCCATGTATGTATAATTTCCGGAGGAAAATACGGTATCTGCATTTGTGATCACTGATGAATGAGACTTTGAGAAGTAAGTCGAGAAGATTTGTACGGACTGGGAAGGACTAGGATTGAGGATTTGGGTGTGGATGTGGATGTGGATGTGTAGATGTAGATGTAGATGTAGATGTAGATGTGGATGGATTACTTGGTTGTTCATGAGCTGAGTGGAGTATGGGTTTGTGGAATTTGGATTCTAGGGGTGCAGAAGAGCTTGGTGTTGGGAGGGGAGAGGGGAGAGGGGAGAGGGGAGAGGGGAACGGGTTGGTTTGGAGGTGGTGTGTGTTTGTATATGTTTGTTGTTTATCGATTATTGAGATGAAGAGAGAAGAGTTAACTGGAGTTTTGCCTCCTGAGTGCGTTTCTTTATTTCTTTATTTGGAGTGAATAAATCATTAGTCTATTTATTACATCTAGAGGAGTGTATACCTAGTGCTCACTATTCGTTTGGATTCGGAGCGCATACATTGTGATACTAGTGGGTGGGATGGGAACAGGTATGTTCTCTATGCTTTGATTGTTTTGTTTGCATCTTGTAGAAATACGATACGATGGTCTCTGTTTTGATGGGTTGGAGTTATGGATTAAGATACAAACTTGTATAGTTATGAATGTTATGGATGGAGTTAGTATATCCTGGGCGAGTGGGGGTGGGAGGCTTTTCTCTCTCCTTTGTGTATAAATGGGCTTGGTACGAACGAACTTGCGTGTCTGTCAACCTTCAATCACTTTTTCAATATTCTTTTCCGAAAATAAGATTGACGTGTTGGAATCACAATCGTTGATGTATATTTCAATTTTTGTTATGTTGAAGCAGTAATGTATTATCGTTATTTGATATTCTAAAAGAAGTGGGTTTGAAGAATCTCTGATTTCAGTTGTTGGGTAGGTAGGTGTACGTATAATTTCGTTTCCATCGAGGGAGGTAGAAGGAAGGGTTGAAGTAGAATATAGTTCTATCAGATTCACGATACGAAGAATAAAGATAAAGTACTTGTGAAATAGGGTATCAAAATTCATAATATGAAAAGAGAACGCAAGGTACTTGAGATTTCATATAATACATATTTTCATATTCACAAAACATCACACCCCGAAAAATGCACATCGTTATTCGCCGTAATCTCAATCTCAATCTCACTCTTAATCGTCTCCTATCATCTCTCGCTCCTCTCACATAAACACGTTTGATAAACAACACCGTGCACATCTTCGGCTTCACATCAAACATCTGCGTCGCCTCATTTTCGGTAGAAGCAGTAAACGAATTGCTCGTGCTAGAGGTGAATGGGTAGTTGAGTGCGGTGCTCCATTCGGCGAGTTTGAAGCTGCGGGACGCAGGTACTACGATGTCGACGCTGTGCGTCATTTCTTGCGTTTGCGTTTTGGAAACACCGTTTTGGATCGGTGTTCGTGGGTGTAGGTGCTGGAAGACTTGTTTGGGTGGATGGGGGCGGGAAGAGATATTTCCTATGCTTTGTGTGTAGGTAGATAAAGAGAAGGGTTGAAGTAGAGGATAGATGGGAGGAGGTAGAAGGAAATGAAAGGGTGCATTTCCGTTATACTTCGTGTGTATGTAAAGAGGAGGATTGAGGTAGGGTATAGTTATGTTGTATTTATAATGAGAAGATAGAGATAAAGGTTTAGTCTTTCAAAGGTTTATATATCGAGTGTGTATATTCTATATGGTTGAAATACAATTCTTTTATTAATTTAATACTATGTATTAATAAATCTATTCTTGTTTGAGAAGGATGAGAAGGATGAGGAGGTTTTGATAATCCGATATCCGGAATAGCTTTGTACTTGAATCATGAGTATTGAAGTTATTATACTAGTGTACAATATAATACATGGCTATTCTCAATGAGCGAGATGAAAGAAACCTCCCCTAAACCATGCACTTCCCTGAATAATACCTCATACACAAATTCGATACTCTTATCCGGGAATTTGTGATGATATTCTCATCGCTTCGCTTCGCATCCCTCGAGCGGTTCTCCTCGGCTGAGTTACTTCGCTTCGAAGCATGGTATATCTACGTCTGGAACATCTACATCTGAAACATCTACATCTGAAACATCTACATCACAGAATTCTATATCTCGAATGCAAATCACAATTCTTGTATACATAACATACAACATCAGATCTCATAAATCCCACCCGACTCGATTATCTTCTGCGCCCGATACAGAGATCTTGAATCGGTGTTCTGTTCTCGGGTAGTATATCCATTCATTCATCATTTATTCGTTCATTCGGCCGGTGCAGTGCAGTTTTCCAGACTGAGCTAAGCTGAGCTGAACTGGACATATCGCATCTGCAGGCACTGTACTTTCTTCCATACTAGATAACTCTCCAAACAGTAACATTGTTACTGTCTTGCACTTCCCTCCTTGTCCGAAACGAAAATAATTCATATTTTTTTTTTCTTTTTCTTTCTTTTTTTCTAATACGCTCTGCGCCTCGGGGTGTACATCAATTCATATCTTTCGGGATTGTCTACGACCTACGACCTACTTGTTACCTGCACGAATAATCTTCGAATCCATCCCCAACGTACTAGAGTAAAACTCTCCATGTTTGAATATATGAATGATGAATTAACTCCTCGTTTCTGATATATGGGAAAGATTCCTCTACTTGAATATTGATGGGGAAGTGGATTTCAATGCTTTTGTTGTGGAGATGGGGATGTGATGACTGGGATTTGGGATATGGCATGCTGGGTTGTGCGTGTTTCTAGAATGCGAGAGGGGTTGGATTGCGGTCTGTGGTGAGAGATATAAAATGCATGCAAACGGTGCACAGGGCGTGCTGTAGTGATTGTGGCTATGGAGATGAGGAGTCGGGATATTGAGATGTGGAAGGTTGTTTGGGGAGGGGCTTGGACTTGGGAGATTGTGGGCTGGTATTTGATCTGTGGGTTTGGATTGTGGAGAGTTAGGAGGCTTTGGCTTGCACTGCATCTTTTGGATAGGGATATATATTGAGCATGGGATTATGGTAGATTTGGTGTATGGGATGGGGAGGGATCTTGTAGAGATCGGACGGAATGGAGGCTGTAGGGCATGATGATGTGGCGGAATTGCTATAGAAACACTTTGAAATCTGAACGATAAAGAATGAAGAATGGGGTTTGTATTGATTTTATAAGATCCAACAAATAGTATAGGAAAATCTCATATCGATGTAGCAGAGACTGGAGGGTATGAAGATGCGGTGGAATTCCCACCAAAACCACAGTTACTGAAACTCGGAAAAATATTCAATCTCAACATACATACTAACCAGAAAGTTGAAAGAAACTTTTTGCTTGAATAAATTCTGGAATCTCATCCATCCTCTTTGGCGCAATATCTCATAGCCACCCGAACACCAATCTGAACCCCCCTTCAAAAATTCAAAATCATACTTCCCAAGTACTCACTCATGACTTACAAACAAATTCTTCTTTATTTCATCTCATCTCATCTTCACATCCACCAATCGGATCATGATATCCCGCCAAATAAGTAACATAGTATAGCGTTCAATGATCCCGTACTCTCACTCACTCAATTCATCTACTTCCCCGTTTCATCTCCTCCCCATTTCACCTATCCATACATCATCCGACCCATCTTCCCACGAATCCATCAAAATTCCATACACAGAACCAACAAACCCTACGAAGTTGCAAGACCAGTAACAATCAATTTCCTATTATCACTACTCACATCTTGATAATAGAATCTTAAATCATGCAGATACCAGTCTGTACATAAGCGACCGATGCCAGCATTTCTTTTCTATGCCCTTCAGGCACTTATTTTTCAAAACTGTCCTTCGTTTGTTTTGTCGATGGATAATGAATGAGATAGCTTGCTTCTACATTTCTGATATTCACAAGGATGAAAAAGATTTTTGTTTATAACAAGTGCCAAGTAGCAATATCATGAATTCATACGATTTCCTTCGTTTTCTAATGTACAAGTATCGAGATACCTACTCAAATCTCACATCATGAATTTATCATCTCCGGGCCTCCGGCTCGATGAAAAAAGAAAACGAGATAATACAACGTACACGGTGAGCACGAGATTTAAGGTGCTAGAATCGACATAGATGTGAAGTTTAATTACCTTTTCTCCTTATATCACATCAAATCCCACTAGCTACCTACGAAGAGAAATATTGTATGGAGAGGTTGAGTTAACTTGCTAGGTGAGAAGATCGCGGAAGATGAGATGAGCACTGGCTCGGTAGTTTTTGGTTCACTCGGATTGATGAGAGTGTGAGATATCGGAGCTAGCGATAGAGTCTTATAAGCACATTGTTATGTTCTATCCCAGGTCAAACATTAAGATGGGTGGTTTCCAACTCAATCATAGCCTCTTCAAACGCCCTATAAATCCCACAAGATACTTCAAATCCGTACCTATATACACCTATCCAGCCGAGCCAACAACAAACGCACACATACACAAACCATCCCATCCCATCTTCCCTCCTCCCCCTCAAATCCCCCCCTCATCCCCCCAACACAAAGCCACCCCCACCTCGCACACTCCCTATACCTCTCCGCCACGTCCCACATCCCCACATCCTCAAAAACCTCCCCCGCTTTCTCATACAAATCAATATGCCACCACGAATGCAATATACTATCCTGTGCTGGTGTTTCCGGAGTCCCAGGACCAGGTAGTCCCATCGGATGAAAAAGGTGAAGTGTTAACGAAAGAAGACGAACAGAAAAGAGTTGGAGGAGGGGAGAAGAGGTTGTGGTGTGGGACAGCCTGGGGGAGGGTTAGTCTTGAGATGAGATGAGATGAGGGATTGGGGATGGAAACAAACCAGAATCCATTTTTCAACAATTCCGCAAATTCCATCCCGTCACTTTCAAGGTTTGGGAATGTGAGGAAAAATGCACAGAGAGATAATGTGTCACCGATTAATTCATACGTATCCCCATGCGAATTTAATGGTACCTTCTCTCCATTTTTTCTCTGCGCTGAATTTGGATTCGAAGAAGAGAACTCCGAGTATCGAGACGTGAGTAATGTGAGTTCGGAGTTAAAGCAGGATTGAAGTGTGTGGATTGGGAGGGAAGACTGTGTAAGAGTGGTATGGAGACGGGTATTGATTGTTTCTGTTTCTGCGTCTGTATCTTCAGAAGATGAGTTTATCTTTTTCACGGGTTTGGCTTGTGGAGGTGCCGGAAGTGCCGGAAGTGCTTCAGTTAATCGTAAGAATGAATTCTTTTCTGGCTTTGCATCTGAGTTAGAGTATGATTGCCGTTCCTGAGTTTTCGCATCTTCGTCTTCATCATCACTATCATATGGGAACTTGGTATATGAATCGTGGCGTTTGTGAAGAAAGGATTGCCATTCAATTTCATTGGTTTCAGGATTTTCTCTATGTTTGAAGATTAGAATTCAAAGAACAATGAGATATGGAAAATGGGGAATGGAGACACTAACGGTCTTTCAAAAGCGAGAAGGGCGCGAATCTCTTCGCATCTTTGCACCATGTTTAAATCTGCTGGTATTGTCATATTGGAGCTTTTAATGGATCAATCTCCTATTTGTTGGATTGTCTAGAGAATGGGTATATCGAATCAAGAAACACGAATATGTAACTTCAGTTTAGAGATTTGGGGAAAAAAATCTCTTTTCTAAATGCAAACGAAGGGCTAGAAACAAGAGCAAAATTGCAATGGATCATTGGTATAAAGAAACTAAATAATATTTCTCCAACATCGAAACAACCTGGCCGCCTGATATATAACCTATCAATTCTGCGCCTCGAATCCTCTGGGTCGATTGTTGGAATAGGCCCTGAGCTTGGCCATCGATATGCTCATAAGCTGGCCGGTGAGAATCCTTGACTCCGCAACTTTGTACTCAGCATCTAATAAGTAGAGTTTGGGAAATTGAAATAAATAGTGGTTCGGTAGGTTGGGTGATATCTAGCCTTAAACCGGCCCAAGCCAACTTTTCTATGTCCTAAATGTGACAGCGATAGAATTTTTTTGATTGAATCGTCTGGATGCGAACCCACCCCCACCTCAATGCTGCAAATTTCTTGCAGTAGCTTTAGACTTGCAGACTGAAACTATGGCCGATATTTGCGTAAGCTTGAACGATGTCGATGCAGGCCCGACCTCTTTCCCATATATCTCTGATATTGTGATCTATGAGGTGAAAGGTGAGCAAGTGCTCACCTTTCCATGATTAATTTGCAGATTCGAATGAATCATCTGTCCCTTCGTCGTCGCATTTATTGTCACCCATCTCAATATCAGAACCTCCGAATACACCCCCATCGGTAGACCCATCAGAAAATGTTTTCCAGTCGTATTCACATATCCTAGCTCCTCCAGTCACAAGAAGCTCTTCGATCAAGTGATCATTCTCGCTACTATCCTCACTGGAATCAGATGGTATAGCAGGATCTTTCATACCCGACACTAGAATTTTCAAGGGGCTATAACGAGCGAATGATGTAGTATCAAATAGATCACCCACACAAAAATTCACATCTGCCCCCCGTTCTATCAATACAGATATGCCAGCTCTCCATCTCATGTACACTGCTTGCTGAAGAAGATGTTTTCTGCCGTCTGTATTCAAAAACCATGATTTGCAATAAAGGAGATCAGGATGCATGCCAATGTCAAGGAGTAGTTTCAAAACCACCTCATCTCTTTTCCTAAATACATCAAATATGATGTACTCGCATAAATCTGTTTCAGTAAGATCGTGAGCCACCGCTCGCTCTAAAATGAAGCGAAGTTTCGCTTCGTTATCACATCGTGCGAAAGCTGCCAGAGATGAGATGAGGTGGTAATTGGGGCAACCGAAGGTTTGGATATGATAGAACAAGAGTTGAAATCTTTCCATTGAGTCCATTCTTATAGCAACTGCAAGGAGGATCAATTCTATTTCTGTGGGAAAATCTCCGGGCTTCATGGGCCATTCCGACTGTATTCCAAGTTCACTCCTGACAAAGAACGCTGACGTTTTCTGGTGAGGATGTAAAAGCGCATAAGAGAAAGGTTTCCACCAGACATGAACATCGTCTTTTAGTATTAAATCGCATTTGTTTGCGATCAGCTCTAGATGATCGAGGAAATTGGCTCCCATCAAGAGGCCACTTTTCCCACCTAATCTGAGGATTTCCATGAGAACCATCAATAAAAAGTTACCACCTTTTTCTATTGCAAGCTCCAAAGCAATATGACAGCTTTTAAGGTACTTTTGTCCATCTTCAACTATATGAATAAAGTGGCGCACAAGTGCCGCGTTCTCAAAATGAATAGCAACGCAGAGAGGAGGACATTCTCCAACTTCCAGAGGTACGTCAACAGTCGCGTTGTATTCATCAATGAGTAGTCTTTCCACATGTTCCAGCTTCAGAAAAGTTGCGTAATAAATCGTTGTGCCAGGACCATTCGCATTCTCCCATTTGTCATTCGAAAAGTTGGTACCAAAAGAATCACCACAGCCTCGTTGGCCAAACCAGGCCTCTCTCCAATGGTACGAGTCCAGATATGAGACAATATATCTCGCTGTTTCCATGCCGTTTTGATATGAACAACCTCTCGCGTGAGATAGCCAGTGGTTGAAAGGGTACTTCCATATAATTTCATGGATGTTCTGTGCAGTGAGCCCATCGATGTAATTTAGGCAGCATTCAAGAGCAAATAGGTGTAGAGAGGGTTCACCAAAGCCATTCATATATGTGACATTCAGATGAGTTGATGTCAGATACTCGCGAACTGAGAAGTGAGACAATTGGACATATTCTCTGTGGTGAGTATCAGTGACCTCCGAAAGGTGATATAAAAACTCATCATGTCTACCGTCGTCGTTATTGAGGGTAACCAAACTCCCTAAAATTTCAAGGAGTTCGTCTGGATTTCCGAATCGATTATTGATGTTGAACGAAGATTTCGAATCAATTCCTGCCGCTACAGCTTCAGCTAATTCGCGGATCGTTAGTTTCTCGTGACAAATCACCAGCCACTTCAGTGCAGCAACGACTATGTCTGTGTAATCTTCATGGATATTTGAAAGCATCCTTTCGTATGTAGCATGTAGAGTTCGAGGCAGGCTCTTTAGAGTCTTTCGTAACATAGCTGGAGTGGGGCACCTTTTTAGGGCATCGAGCTGACAAGTCACCCACAGGAACCTACCACAAGGTAAGATTCTAAAACAGATAGGACTGTCTAGGGGATAAAAACTCACATTCCATTAGCACTGTCTCCCAATGTTATTGCTATCTCAGTCTTAATCTCAGGTGACCACTTTCTTAATTTTGTGTCGTTTTCCAACTGTGTTTTGACGTATTGGCATGTGTCCGAGTTGACATTTTCATTTCTGATAAGAAAAGTTGAGAGTTTGGGTATCTCATCTATAATTTTTTTGATGTCCGCTTCCTTCCGACTGGTCATGAATATATGTAAACTTTTGTAGGCCCATGAGGATACCTCTCGCAGTAATTCACAGACAACCTGTCGATTACCTTCTTCGTAACCTCTAGGACATTCGTCCACTGCATCTAAGATTAGGTAAAAGGTTCCAGGCATCGAAAATACGGCTTTTAGCATGGCTTTCAGCGTCTCTAGGTGCGGAACGGTGGATTGATTGTCGTTGTAGATGGCTAAAGCATCGTCGAGCGCGGCGTCATATTTGACGAGGAATTGTGTGAGAATTGAGCGCAGTAAATTATTGGCATTTTGTTTTTCGGTTTCGTTGAAAGAGAAGTAGTAGTATGCGATGAAACAGTCAGAATTATTGGCACAATAATCGGTCATATCCTGAACAACTGTTGAGCTGTATGTCTGTTAGCACACGAGCATAAGCTTCTTAATGTTGATGGAGGGCTGTCCGCACCACAGAATTGTTTTACCGCAACCTGATAGACCCTGAACCCAAAGAAAAGAATCATCGTTCGTCTTCCAACTGCGGTAATTATTGCTTTGAAGAAACCATGACCCGGTGCCAGGTTCAAAGCGTTTTCGCGCCAAGTCATGGTTTGTTTTCGGGTCTGCGGTCGACAACCATTGAAGAACCTCCTTTTTCTTAGATTCTGTTGTCACTGATCAGTAATTTCTAGGAGTTATGCATAGATTTTTTTTATTTTACCTCGGGCTTTCATCTTTTCATGAGACTCGAAATCCAAACTTTGCTGAGTGATTGTGCATTTTATATCCTGCATGCTATCTTTAACATCTCGAGTATGTTGGACGATGTTTGTATGATTTGTATTGATGCTCTGATTAAAAAGACTGATATCATGTCTAATATCGCGAGCATCGTCTTTAAGATCTCGGATATGGTCTTCGATTCTCTGCGCATTTTTCTTGATATCTCGAGTGTCGCACAGAGCCTGCTGGGCGTATTTCTCGACTGCTGCAATGATTTGTCTGTAGTCAGACTCAGCACGGCTTCAATTTCCAATAGGTAATCTAGACCGCTTACAGTTGATCAGACTGAATTGCAATATCAAACTGCTCCCTGATATCATCAAACCTTGACAAACATTTGTTGATTTTCATATCCCAAGAACTCCCTCTAACCCATCGATTAAACAAATTCTTCTCCTCTAATCTTTGTTGGACTTCGTTGATGATTTCCCGACATTCTTTTCAGGGCTGTTCAGCTTGTTCAACGAGGCAGAATCGCCCTTCACTTTCATCAATCGCAGCTATATTCTTCAAACCTTGGTATGAGGCAAGGAATCTCCGCAATGTCTTTAGCATACGCTCTAGATCAGTTCGATTATGTTCAGATAGTCCAACTTTTTTAGACAAAGCTTGGGCTAATTGGATACAAGCAATGATGCTGGCTGTGAGCCCGAGAATGCTGACTGGGCCCATCTTGGTGGTCCCCCTTTTGAGCCTTGTCGGAGATCAGAAAACGAAGTATCCTCAATAGCTAAATAACACTGATTGCGCAAGATCCAAAGTATCTGTGATTGTGTTAAAAAACGATACTGCTGTTAGCAGACACGGATCAAAACCGAGGATGAGAAGTGCAGTTCCTGAAAATCTTGTTTCCTGCCAAGGTTGGCGAAAGGTAAGATAAGATGTAAGATAGCCTGTATTTTTTGCATGCTCTGTCGATAGGTTACATAAGCATAGCCTCAAGAATCATGTTGTGTAACTAGCTGAGCCACCACACTCTGGATAGACACGTCTAACGAAGCAGCCAAACTACTAGGGTTGATTGAACCCATACTCTCGAGTTGTAGACCCAAAAGACCGCAGAGTGTATTCATTCATTGTCATTTAGAAGAGGAATTTGCAACAGCTCGACTTGAGTTAACGAGACGAGATGATTTCCGAACAAAACAGGGCACAGCAAAGGGCGTATTCTTCCATCGTGTTGGCAATGATGTTGTTACAAAAACGGCTCCCACCAGTAATTTGCTCTTTCCTCTTGGTGAAAGGTCGAACCACCCCCAAGATCAATTACCTTGAAAAGTAGAAGACTCAACGTGAAAAGGATCGCAAATTATAGCAAAACCATTGCTGGCCAAAGCAAGAGCGGAGTAAAGGTTGAAATGACAGGTAGAGAATGACATGTCAGACATCCATTAAAACCATCAATAACATGATATGACCGTATTTAACGGCTCAGGTATCGGAGTTGACGAGCAGACTTTCAAAGCTCCTGGAATGACAACATTGGATGGTTCTGGTCTTGAAGAGCCATGCTGGAACTTTCTCTCATGCAGCCAAAGCTGATGAGTTTGTTTTGTGCATCCTGAGCATCCCCAGAAACAACCACGTGAACACTTTTTTGCCTTTCTCCAATTTATAGATTTGTTTTGTCCCCAAAATGACCATGTACACAGAAATATAAGACTCCATGATATTGCCCAGCTTAAGAGTTTGTCAACGTGGCTAGGTGGGGGGAGATTTCCATGAAGTTGATAGGATTTTGCGAACGTATATTTTGATACGTTGCTGGCCGCTATGATAACTGGCATATTAGTCAATGTAAACACACACAAATGTGTAGGTCCAGCATGATGATAGCAAAGTAAACAACGGTTCATTTGGTGATGTCAACATGCCTCGGTTTAATTATCAAACAGAAGCTCCCTCTGAGTTGTTTTCACAGCAAAGACAAATGCGTCAGTGATGAAGTCTCTCCAAGAACGGGTCTCAAGAGTACTCCACCGCCACGCCCAGCAAGGTACGACGACGTGTTTTATGGACCTTTCGGGTATCTCTCCGACATCGTGCAGCTCTTGCGGCTCGGTCAACAAATAGTGGTACCGCACACTGGGTAACATGATTGTGGCCGTGAGATATATTGCCACGAACGGTGACGGATCTTAACACGGTGAGTAAAATAGAGATGGCTGTGGATAGCAAAACGAATACGTGCAGATGAAGCTATGGTATGGGGACAGCCCCAGCTTGTATTGCATATTCAAACCGAACCACTCTTTGAAAAGGGCGGGGTTGGGGTTACAAGTTGCTACGCCGCTGTTTTCTATTGATGAAGAAAGACGAAAAAAGGAAAGTGAGAGGAGGGAGAGAGAGTGCATTTCATCCGTGATACTAATGCAGACCTGCACTGCCTTCTTTCAATTGCCGGACAAGACGACGACTTATGACTTATGGAGACTTTCCTGCCACCTCCTGAGTTTTGAAGTTCCGGTACGTGTCAATGGATGGCAGAGCTGACGAAGAAAAGAATGGCTGGAGATTACGCTCGGTCGCAATAGAAGAAAAAGAATGAAATGAGTATTTTCAGCAGTTCCACTTCGAAACTTCCGCTGGCTGGCTCACAGAAAAAAACATCAAAGGTTTCTCAACTTTTGCCAAGACTTTGCGGAGGGTGAGGTAACTTTTGGCGCTAATGGATAAAGCAATCTCGGACGGGAGTCGGAAGCGGCGCAGTGTGAGAGTGTCTGGAAAAAAGGCTGGGAAATTAAAATGAGTTCGAGCAAGGGTCGAGAAACCTTAACAGGGTTTGCTATGGCAACCAATAGGATTAGCGTCTGATCTCAACGGAAAGACCCTTGACTAATACTTGAAGCTTGGGTAGTGTGAAGTGTGAAGTCAGTCAGTGTCAGTGAAGTGTGAGGGAAAAAAGAGGAGAACCGAGGTGCAGAGACAAGATCGTCAAATGAGCCCGATTGCGTGTTTTCTTCTTATCAATTCGGATCAATTGTTTTCGAGAGGACATGCGTTTGAAAGCTGACAAGTGTAGCTGCCTTCATACAATTAATTGATCCTATCAAAATTCAATTGATCGATTGATGAAGCTCTAGATTTACACAATGTCTTTTCTGCAGAGTACCGAGATGTGATTCGACTTCTTTTCCATGTGAAGCTCGGGTAGAGCTCTGCTGAGCTTACAAGTTACACTCCTCCATCGATCTTATCCTATCATCCAATCAATTCGTTCCACGATACGAGTCAACGTCAGGGGTCTCTCGAATGTGAGGAGCTGAAGCTTAAGGAAATTGAATTTATTTCTCACGGCGTGCAAACTTGCACTTATCCACATTCGACATGGTCTATGGAAGACGGCCAATTGTGAGGCTACCTAGATTCCGGTTTGGGATCATTGATTGATGGTCGTTGGTTTTCATTTGCAGAGATTCGAAAGGACATCCAACCGGAGCATGTCTTCTATCGGAAACTCACACGGGAAAGTAAAATGTTGCGATGGCTGGGGGCCGAGAACACATGAACACGAAGATCCACTGATGCTTCATACCACATCGAGAAGGAAAGTGGAGTCAAGGAATAGTGGAGAGCTACCCATATGGAAGGACCAGAGAAGATGAAGACGAGGCCGATTACAGCAGAACCAAACAGATTTCATGTGAAGGCTTGGAGTGGGAGATCTAGTTCGACGCCACAAATATAGATAAATGAAATTGCCGATGATATGCTTTGAACATGATATTGGTAAGGACCTCGGAGAGTCAATAGTCGGGGATCGATCAAACAGTAGTGTCCAGCGTCGCATCGAGGTGGTTGAGTGGTTTGTTTACATGGCATCCTATCTGGGCCATATTTTGGTCGATAGGACACTCTGGGGTAGCTAAGCTTGAGGTCCCTTGTTATGGCGTACCCTGAGACTGAGAGAAGTTTAACAGAGAGAGAGAGAGAGGAAAGAAAGTGAAAGGCACAGGGTCCAGAGGAAATTAGAGTTACCTAGACACATGTATTCGAACCATACTGCAGTCAGTTTCATCATTCAATAGAGGGAATCATGGGATGGAAATGACTAGGTCGGTGGTGGTCGAGTAGCTCAAGAAAAGACGGTACCACGATGACCATTGGGTCATGTCTTATTTCCGTCTTCTCATCCATCACACATATGTCACTCTCATCACCCTTCCATTCATCATCCATCCATCACTGTGCCCATCATCCATCCATCATCCATCATCCATCATCCATCACCCGTCACCCGTCATCCGTCATCCATCACCTTGTCCGTCACCCTGTCCCTCCACTGCCCCCATCAATCATAAAAGCAGACCGTCTTCCCTACCACTTTTCATCGCTCTCTGCATTGCAACTCGGCTTCCTACAATGCAACCGTTCACGATGGTAATTCTTAGGTAATTACTTGATGCGGTTAGTCACAAACAATATCCGCTGCCACATGTCCCAATATCCCAATAAACTGAATGTAAACAAACAAATAATACGGCCTAGGTATACCTAATAAAAAAATCATGATGGCTGTACGTATAATTTAAAATTGAATGACCCTGCTGGCTGCTTCGATGGAAAAAGTGAATATCCAACCACCTTGATTTCTCTAAACTTGCTCCCACCACCCTTCATTCACCCTTTGCAAATCTCTCTCCACCATCTTCTTTCCCTCTTTCAAACCTCCCACCCCACATCAACACAAATACAACCTCAAAATCGCATCCCCAATCAATTTTGTACACACACACTCTTCATACCTACCTGCCTACCTTCTCCATTGCACTTTCGCAATAACAACACACTCTTGCTATTCTTTGTTCATCTTGAAAGACCTCAAAATATTTTTTGAAATCTGAAAGACGAGTCAAGAAACGTTACCCGTAAACGTTTTCTTCCCTCTTCCTTCTACCTCAAGAAGTAGAGATCCTTCTTGTGATATCCTTTCGGTACGCTGAAAGGTATTCGAGAAGTGTTCTCGCATTGAAAGGTCGTCAACCTGGACTTTGACGCACGAGTACCGATCCCCTTCAGCATCTTCCCGTCGTCGTATAGAAGCGACGTCGCTGCCCAACCCATTCAGACCACCGAGACTCACGTCGAAGGTGAAATCACTCTACATCATCATCACGAGCGCGTCGGACGGGAAGGTCAAGAAGAGGACGCTCAATCTCTTTACTCTCAACACCAACATCAACATCAACACGAACACGAACATCAACACGAGCACCAACACCAACACGAACACGAACAACAACATCACCTTCCTCCCCCTCCTCAACGACAAGAGTTTATAGAGGAAGAGCTTCACATCACCCGTGAAGAAGATCGCCGCTCTGAATACCGTCCGAGCAGCCGAAGAGAAGAAGAAGTTTATATTCGTGAAGAACGCAGGTTAGTAACTAAAAACAAAAAAAAAACAGTCCATTTCTTTTACAGTCTCAAAAACTCTCCTTTCTACAAAATCCACTATCCATCAAAAATTGCATCAAAACAAACGAGACACAAATCATCATACCAGACCGACCAGCTGGAGCAAAAATAACATCCACAATACTTGTTTTCCCTTCACCTCCATTTTCACCTCTCTTTTGGCCCTTTCCCAATTTTTGCACCAATTCCCAATTTTTCTTTCTTTTCTCGTTATACAACATTAATCAAAAAGATCTGGCCATATCGGAAGAAGCAGTACCCAATTAACAATTAATTGGGTCCCTTCTGAGACAAATTTGCCAGCTTTCTTGTTTTTTATTATTACGACGCACAGTCCAACGATCTTCGGTTTAGTCCCAGCCACCCCCCTTACCCCAAAAATAACATGGGCTTTCTTTTTTTCTTTTAGTGTTGACACAGTAACGCTCACCGTTTAATTTTCTTCATTAACTGACACTTTTGTTTTCTCTACCCTTCTTTTAGACCCGAACACAAACACAAACACCACTCTGCTTCCTTCGATATCAACACCCCACATCACCACAGACACTTCGAAGCTTCTTTTGAAAGAGACAGTGATCGTCACCACAAACACTCTGAAGTTAATATCGAACTTCCCCGTCGTGAACATCATCATCACCATCATCAACGCCGTCAATCCTCTGAAGTAGACTTTCAACTTGAACGTCAACGTCAACCTCGTCACTACGAACCATCTGAAGTTGATACTCAATTCTCTGCTCCTCAAAAGAGTCCTACCGAGACCAACATCGACTTCGTTGAACGTCAATACCGTTCCCGAACCCAACCAAGTTACAAGGAAGACACTGTCATCGTCGACCCTCCCAAATCCCGTGTATCTGAACCAAGATACATTGAAGAGACCCGTGTAACTGAGACTACTATCGTCCCAGCTCCCCGTTCCACTCACTCTCACAAACCCAAGTCAACCTTCCACGAAGAAAAGTTCGAGGAAGAAGTTCGCGTCAAGCAACCTCGCACACCAGCCAGATCTACTTTCACCGAAGAAGTTCGTGAAAGAGAACTCGTCAAGTACACTCCCCCCGCACCTAAATCAACCACTTCAACTTTCAAACCAGTCAATCTCGAAATGGGTTACTACGATGATGAAGGTAAGCTTCCTGTTTGTTTTTTCTCTAACCCCCCACCATGTACCCTAAGCATTCAATATCAGGGAACTATCACTCCCTTCGTGGAGGTTACTACCATGGACACGGGAAAACTTTGAACCAGGACCCAATTGACTCTCTCGATTTAGCCGGCGCCCCAGCCGTTGCTGCTCCAAAGCAACCTGCCAACACCGTTACCATCCCTTGCCACCACATCCGTATGGGTGACCTCTTGATGCTCCAAGGACGTCCCTGCCAGGTTATCCGTATCACCACCTCCGCTGCCACTGGCCAACACCGTTACTTGGGTGTTGACCTCTTCACCAGACAATTGAATGAAGAGTCCTCTTTCATCGCCAACCCAAGCCCAAGTGTCGTCGTCCAAACTATGTTGGGACCAGTCTTCAAGCAATACCGTGTTCTTGATCTCCAGGACCACTCTGGTAAGTTTTATGTCTTGTCTTCCTCATGAGTATCTCACACTAACGTGAACACAGTTGTTGCCATGACCGAGACCGGTGATGTCAAGCAAGCCATTCCCGTTTTGGACCAATCCAACCTCTGGACCCGTCTTAAGGAGGCCTTCGAAGGTGGACGTGGTAGCATCCGCATCATGGTCGTTGCCGATGGTGGTCGTGAGATCGCCGTTGACATGAAGACTGTCCACGGATCCCGTCTGTAGATTTCCTGTACCAAACACCATGGCGTCCAACCGGCAATAATCCATTGGCCTTTCCTCGATGGAGTTTCCTTTTTGTTTTCATGATTTTTTAGTGCATTTTCGGAGGGAAAATTTGAAACGTATGATGGGGTAGATATGGATTCAGATTGATTAATGAGGGATGAAATTTGGACGATCGGGTTTTCTATCTGATCTATCGGATTCTTTTAGTTTAACGAAGTATTCAAGTAGGTCCTCGATACCATCTATGGTGATACTACTTTGGTGGTTTTGACATAGTGGTAGAGAGAGTCCTTGATGCTGCGATCTTTTTCTACTTTGTAATTGTGTAATTAGGAAAAGATCCAGAATGAAAACACGCTGCTTGTCTATTACTCTATCTCGTTTTACCTTGATTAACTGAATTCCAACTTGTGACTGGTTCATTATCTTCAGGAATGTATGGTGTTGAAGAATGTTACTTGACCAACTTCCCCAGCCATGATGATTAGATCTGTCCGATTCCCACTTTTGGCCGAGGGATCAACCTCAAATTGCCGTATATAATCCGAGTGGGGGTCTGGCATCTTCAAGTCTTTGATTTC